TACAACAGCAGTAGTATATAATAACACTTCAACACGCCTACTTGACATATATCCCGGGATCGACGTCAAATACACAGACCGAACATGGGTAGACACACACGGCGCCAGGAGCGACGGGACGCAAGCTACACGAAAAAAAAGTGTAGCTGATATGGACACGCATCACCACTGCTGTGCCACCATACACTGGTAGTGGTCGGCATCATGTCCTCGTGCAAATGCATTTCATGGTCTTCCGTGGCCATCGATGTAGTGACCACAACAATGTGGCTCGCAACTGCTGCTCCGCGTTTTCGCGACACAGCCGCGCTCTGGACCTCACCTTCGGGAGAGGTCCTCTGCCGTGCGGCGGTGGGTGTGGCGGCGGCAGCAATATCGTCACCTGCGCCTGCGATTTTCACACGTATCACGCGCACAACGAACGGACAAACACAACCGTTGGAATTGCGACTTAGTAGAGAATGAACGAAGCCCGTGATTGGCGGACTGCCATGTTCATCAACGCCGCACACTAGAAGGCGGACCGTCCTTTGGCTGGCGAACGATTCCGAGCTCCTTGCAACCATGCTGGCCGAATCGGGCCTTATTGTGGCGTCGCGGGAAGGAGAAACTGTTTTTGTCTGTCCTTGCTATTCTTTACACGTGCTACTCTACACGGACTCACTATTGTCAAGGGCAGACGCGTTTTTCCAAGCGTCCGAATTTCCGGCAGTCTTGGGGTCACCCTCATCCTAGGACCCCGTTTTGTGCCCAGTGAGACGTGTTCAAGGGTCAGCAGCAGCTTGGTCAGTAGAGACCACGATTCAAAAAGCAAAAGGCTACCGTTAGAGATAGTCCATGTATGTCTAGCCGATCGTGTGCATGTGACCCGCTTGCATTCCGTCTGTTCGAAGCCTCCACGGTATAGGGCACTTCACCTAAGATACCCGACTAGCTTCGGTAACGACAGACATCGTGCCAAAGCCCTGCGCCCTTGCGCCAGCCACTACGATGATGTTACAGCAGTAGTAGCGTTTACCCCAAAATGCCCGAGACCCTGCTGTTCAAACACACAATAAACCAGCTCACAAGAAAAAACGTCTGGAGCGCCGTGTGCACTCACCACCTTCGCCGCAGTCAGGGGAGCAAGCCACGCGGGCGCACGCGAAGTGCCTCCCATTGCCGTGAGGGCATTGTGTGACGATCGCCTGCTAAAACATTCTTTGGCCACGCAGTTGTCGCCGGCACTGCACGGGCCTTCTGTTCCAGCTTCTCCTGCAGCAGCTCGGGCTCGCACGACATCGCGGTGACGAATAGCTCCGGCTTTCTCTTCCTCCGTCATCTTGAGTTTACACTTGTCTCCCCCGCATGCAAACCCGAACTCGGAGGGTTCGCCAACACCCCTAAGGTCCTGGCTGCACGTATTGTGCACGGGTCCCTTGCAATATCTACAGCAGTGGTTAGTGTTGCACTCGGCCTGAATGCACTGCCCAAGGATATCGCAGGCAAAATTTGCCGTCATGGCGGACCCAGCCGCCCCGACATTCGCCATACCGGACATGTCCCTAAAGTGTTACTACTTTGTCCATGAAGTGTCCCTACACCTTGACTTATATAGGCCTTGGTTGTGTTGAAGACTATGGTCGAGTCGGACGTGAAGTCGGGGAGTGCGCGAGAGTGCTGTGTGCTGTGGTTACTTAGGCTTGTGGCTTGTGGTCTTGTGTTTTTTTTTGAAAGGGTGGAATGCGGTGAGATTTGCGCTGGTGTGACGTTGTGGGTGCTATTCAAGCCAGGTGTATCAATCGTCTCGTGGCTGTGGTTGTGTGCACGCCCTTGGCGCAGAAAGAGGCCTGCGGTGCGTAAAGGGTGTGTGTGTAACCCGTGTCCGGCGCTGGAACAACGTTGTGAGGCCTGTGCGTCCGAGGGCGGTGCTAGGTTGACGGGCTCACCACAGCGAGAACCAAGGGTCAAATGTGTATTGAAAATAGACTAGGAATCACCCTGACCCCCCCCCCCCCCCACAGCCACTTTTGGGAATTTGGCGGCCCCATTGGCAGGAACCCTATGGCGAAACAGGCAAGGAACAGTCAAGGCCGAATCTTGCCGGCCACAGGAGGCGGCAGCCGTTCAAACTTGGGGACGGCTCATGACTTGCGATTCCACACCGAACTATACTCGAGGTGCCACGAGATTTGCACTGTAGCTCGAGATCAGCATTTTAGACGGGTCGGGCAGGCGAGGGGCATGCGAATGAAACTTCCACGGATCGATATTGGGGAGTTTCGGCAAATTGTTTCGTTTTGGTCAGACACAATGGTCAGACAAAATTGCCCAGAAAAAAATTGGAATCAAAAGATCCGAAAAGAGGCTCAGATTTTTTGTCGGCATGACGTGGTAACGCCCCCCCCGCTGATTGGCCGAAAGACTCGCGTGCACCGTTCCCCACGCCGCTTCTTCCCTTTTGTGTACACGAACAAAAAGAGGTGTCGTTGTGCTTGGTTGGCTGCTGCTATCATCCAAGGTGCCGGGAGCATCCAGCGGGGGTGTTGCCACCGCAGAGAAGTACCCCGTGTAAAGGCTTCTTGCAAGCAAACTCTCAGCCGCTTGCGAAAGAGAGGGGTGGCGGTTCATTCAAAAGCAGCAGCAGCAGCAGCAGCAGCGGCAGCTAGCAGCAGCGGCACAGCTTGAGCCGAGTACAGTCACCCTCACATTTCTTACACAGCGATTTTTTAAGCAGCATTGCAAACCGCAGCAGCTGTCTAGAGGGCGTGGAGCCGATAGAGAGTAACACAAGGCAACTTTTGGGCCACCTCCCAGCAGTTCGAGTGGCCTACAGCTCATGGTCTGGGTGTTCTCCTGAACTGGCTGTAGACAAGAGAGTTGCTCTATTTTGAGGCTGATGACACTTGTCTCATCCCACCCTTGGTCGGTTCCTTCCCCATCGATCACCTCATACATGCACATATTATGCTGTAGACACACACCGCCAGCATCGGAGGAGGAGGAGGTCCGTCGTCCAGTGGTCGTGGTGTGGTGACAGGAGGCTCGGACGAGTCTGTCTGTACCCTGCGATACCATCTTGTGGGTTCCTACTACACTACGACGCGCTGTTGCTGCTAAAAAATCTGGACCTATTTGAACAGGAACCCTCGCCTCAGATAAGGTGAGGGTGGAGAGAGGCTTTTGTCTGAGCCGCGGGAGAAACGTGGGCCAGCCTCAGACAAATAAAACCGTTACCGGCTACACATTCCAAAAAATCTGACCCTCTGTTTGTCTGAGCAGTTTGTCTGACCCGGGTACTCGTAGAAAAAAATTCAAGACACATAGGCCCCCCCCCCCCCCCCCCCGAAGGGGGAAAAAATTTAAAAATTTCCCTGGAACCTCCAAAAATTACCATGAATTTCCCATGGAGGAAGGGTAAAAGGGAGGGAAAAATGGCTCTCTGTCGTTTCCCCTTTCCCCTTTGGTCCTGCTTCATGGGTGCCCATGGTCACCCAACCGTGGTAAAAGAAAACACACACGTAAGAAAATTTCGTAATTACCAAAGTATAAAGTATTCAACAAAACTCGAAATGAACGGAAAAATGTGGTGTTTCCCCTTTCCCATCTGGTCCTCATCCAAGGGCGCCCATGGTCACCCCACCGTGGTAAAAGAAAACACAAACGTAAGAAAATTTCGTATTTACCAAAATATACAGTATCCAACAAAACTTCAAATGAACGGAAAAACTTAACCAAAAAACATAAATTGAAACACCTGGCTTGGAAAATTGGCATTGGCGCATTTAACAATGGACAAAAAAAAAAATAATCCTGGC